TATTGAAGTCCTTTGCCCATCTCTTAAGTGGGTTGTTCGTTTTGATGTGGAGTTTCTTGATCTCATTGTAGATTCTGGTTATTAATCCTTCATCTGTTGAGATAATCATATGGTTTTTCTTCTGCAGATTGTTAAAGTGGTGTATCACATTGATTGATTTGCAAACATAGAACCATCCCTGCATACCCAGGATAAATCCCACTTGGTCTGGGTGGATGATCTTTCTGATGTGTTGTTGCATTCTATTGGCCAGAATTTTATTGAGGATTTTTGCATCTATGTTCATCAGGATTATTGGTCTATATTTCTCTTTCAATGCTGCATCTTTCTCAGGCTTAGCGATTAAGGTGATGCTGGCTTCATAGAAAGAATTTGGCAGGATTCCCTGTCTTGTGATTGTTCTGAATAGTTTGAGAATAATTGGAGTTAGTTGTTCTTTAAATGTCCGGTAAAATTCAGCAGTGAATCCACCTGGTCCTGGGCTTTTCTTCATTGCTAGGGCGTTTATTACTGATTGATTTTCTGTCTCAGTTATGGGTCTGTTTAGGTTTTCTATGTCCTCAATGTTCAAATTACCTAGATTGTATGTGTCCAGGAATCTATCCATTTCTGATAGATTCCCCTGTTTGCTGGCTTACATCTCTTTGTAGTCATTTCTGATGACTCTTTTTATTTCTGTGGTGTCTGTTGTTACATTCCCTTTTCATCTCTGATTTTGTTTACTTCCCTCTTTTCCTTTCTTTTTTTAGTTAGTTGGGCCAATGGTGTGAAATTTGTTTATTTTTCAAAAAACCAGCTCTTCATTTGGCTGATATTTGTAATTTTTTTGGATTCAATTCTGATGATTTTTTCCCTAATTTTAATTGTTTCTCTTCTCCTACTAGTTTTGGGTCTGGTTTGCTGCAGTTTTTCTAGATCCTAGAGATGCACTGATAGCTTGTTTATTTGGTACCTTTCCAATTTCTTGATGTAGGCACCTCTACGTTTATAATAGTTACAGATTCCTGTTGAATTGATCCCTTAACCATTATATAGTGCCCCTCTTTGTCTCTCTTAACAGTTCTTGTGTTAAAGTTTATTTTGTCTGATATTAAGATGGCTACGCCAGCTCTTTTTTGGTTTCTGTTGAAGTGGAATAACTTTTTCCAAACTTTCACTTTCAGTCTGCATGCATCTTTGATGGAAAGATGAATTTTGTGTAATCAACTAATAGATGGTTTTTGTTTTTTAATCCATTCAGCCAGTCTGAGCATTTAACTGGAGAGTTGAGGCCATTAACATTCCATGTGACTATTGACAAGTACTAAATTTGCCCTTCCATCTTTCCTAAGATATTTTCTAATACCTGGTTTGAACTTCCTGTGATCTTTTGCTGTGCGGTTCCTTCCTTTACCTGCTTGCATATTGATGACCGTGTTTCTGTGTTTCTGTGTGTAACACATCTTTAAGCATCTTTTGCAGGGCTGGACGAGTGGCAAAAATTCTTTCAATCTCTGTTTGCTATGAAAGGTCTTTATTTCACCTTCATTCACAAATGAGATATATTTGCAGGATATAATATTCTGGGCTGGCAGTTGTTCTCTCTTAGTACCTGGGCTATATCTCGCCATTCCCTCCTAGCTTGTAGGGTTTCTGATGAGAAGTCAGCTGTGAGTCTCATTGGAGATCCTCTGAGAGTAATCTGACGTTTCTCTCTTGCACATTTTAGGATCTTTTCTTTATGTTTCACTGTGGAGAGTTTAATTACAACGTGTCGTGGTGAGGATTTCTTTTGGTCGTGTTTATTACGGTTTTTGTGAGCTTCCTGTACTAGGATTTCTCTGTCCTTTTCCAAACCTGGGAAATTTTCTGCTAATATCTCACTAAAAAGGCCTTCTAATCCTTTCTCCCTCTCCATGCCTTCAGGACTAATGATAAGTGCTAACTTTGCCCTGCCATTTGCCAAAGATAGGTTCTAATATATGCTTTGAATTACCTGTGATCTTATGCTGTGAGGTTTCCTTCCTTGGTTTCCTTCCTTTACCTTCTTTCATATTGATGACCGTGTTTCTGTGTTTCTGTGTGTAACATATCTTTAAGCATCTTTTGCAGGGCTGGACGATTGGCGAAAAATTCTTTCAATCTGTTTGCTATGAAAAGTCTTTATTTCACCTTCATTCACAAATGATAGCTTTGCAGGATATAATATTCTGGGCTGGCAGTTGTTCTCTCTTAGTACCTGGGCTATATCTCGCCATTCCCTCCTAGCCTGTAGGTTTTCTGATGAGAAGTCTGCTGTGAGTCTGATTGGAGATCCTCTGAGAGTAATCTGACATTTCTCTCTTGCACATTTTAGGATCTTTTCTTTATGTTTCTCTGTGGTGAGTTTGATTACAACGTATCATGGTGAGGATGTCTTCTGGTCATAGTTATTGGGGGTTCTATGAGCTTCCTGTACTTGGATGTCTCTTTCCTTCTCCAAACCCGGGAAATTTTCTGCTAGTATCTCACTAAAAAGGACTTCTAATTCTTTCTCTCTCCCCATGGCTTCAGGATTTCCTAGAACCAAGATGTTGTTTTTTTTTTTAATCGTATCCTGTAGATTCCCAACAATATTTTTTAGATTTCTAATTTCCTCTTCTTCTCTTTGGTTTGACTGTATACTTTCCTGTGCTCTGTCTTCTAAGTCCAATATTGTTTCTTCCATCTCACTGATTCTGTAATTAAGGCTCTCAAATGTGTTTTTCATTTGATCTATTGAATTCTTCACTTCATTTTGATTTCTCTTCACTATCACAGTTTCATGTTCTACTAGATTTTTCATTTCATTTTGATTCCTCCTTAAGATTTCATTTTCACGAGAGAGATTTTCTGTCCTATCCACTTCAGATTTCTGTAGTTAATCAATTTGTTTCTGATAACTTCCAAAGGTTCGTATCATAAATTTTTTGAAATCGTATCTTGCATTTCTTCTATCTCATCACCTTCATAATCTTGAATTAGAGTGTCCTGTTCATTTGTGGGCATCATAATGTCCTCCTTGTACTTCTTTCCTCAGTGTCTGTGTTTGCTGTTTGGCATTGTGGAGATATTCTTTGGTTTCTTCTTCTTTTTTTTTTTCTTGCTGTGGTGGCTTTTCTCATTATACTATGACTCTAGATCAAGTGGACTGTCTGTTTTTGGTGAATCTCTAGAGGCTTTTGGTGGGTGTGGCCAGAGAGCTCTGTACAGTTCTTCAGGGTTAAGGGTGTGCCCAAGGTTTGTGCATTGGTTTGGCATGGTAAGCCTTCTCTCTCTCTCTCTCTTTTATTTACAAGGGAAGTAATTCCACTCAGCTGAGCTCTTCTCCTTGATGGCATACAGTGCCTGAGCGCTAGCCCCAGTGGGTATAGTATTTGTATAATATTTGTTGGCTCTTTCCAAAGGACCATACAAAAAGGGTCTTTGCAGTCCTCAGTGTAAGCTCAGATTCTCCTGCAAACTCCCACCGGGTAGAAAAGGCTGCCTGAATTGGTGGAGTCTCCCACCAAGACTACTCACGTCTCAGCCACACCATGAGTTCTCCCACACACTCTCAGTTTTTATCCACAGTCCCTGTCATAAGCTCCACACATTCCAAAGGTCTAAATCTCCTGTTATTTCTCCCCACCAGAGTCAGGTTTTTCTGCTTGGCTGAGGGCAGGCACAGCCTGAAGTGGCACAGCTGTTACATTTGTCCAAAACGGCACCTGCTCTATTGTCTTCCCCGTCTTTGTAAGGTGAGTGGAGAGAGAATCATGTCTGTGCTGGTCCCTTTTATTTTTTCTTTCTCTCCTCTAGTTAGGCTGGTGTACTTTCTCCCATGGGGCTTCAAGCCAGGTTCCCTCTACACTCTTTCTGCCACTTTTCTGCCAGTGTCTTAGACTACTGAGTTTTCACCTCACCTGCCTTTCTAGCTCTGGTGCATAGACTCGGCAGCTGGGTTCCAGAGCCATGGGCGCCCATGCCTACCACGTAGGTCCACTGTGTCCCACTAATTCTGAAAGAATTTCCTCTGCAGTTTTTTCCCTACCTATTCCCTGAGACTAAAGTGTCTCCACTTTTATTAAACTATCTTTTCCTGGACTATCATTGAGCTCCCTCCCAATTCTGCCATCTTGGAACCTCATGAGTGTCAATTGCTAAATCAGCAACAGGAGTCATTGTGCAGTTGTTCCCCATGTAGGACCTCCATCCTTAGTGTGTTGTACTATGAGAATTAATGGTAAAAGAAGTTTTCAAACAGTACTTTACACTTTGTGTGCCTGTGTAGGTGCAAATTATTGAGTCTTTCCTTAGTATGGAGTTGATCTTCTGTATAGAAAGATAATTAAAAATGAATCTTAATGAAGAATGGGCTGGAAGAAGAGTAGGAGGTGGCATGGTTGTGGGTGGGAGGGTGGGTATGGGGTGAGCAACAGCTATAAACGAAAAGTTGTAATTACAAAATTTATATTTAATGAATAAAAGCTTTCTATAGAAAAAGAGCTGTGACTTGATCAGCTCTTGTCCTGACAATTGAGGAACAATTACTATTTTATTCTGTTTAGCAAAAATCTTAAAATCACTGACACTGGTGTGATTTACTGAAGCAGAATATCAATTACCAGCAGTCAGCATTTCCAGTCAACATTCCACTTTGCTTTCTTTTAACTAAAGAGTCTTTTCATTAACCTTGAGTCTGAATCCATTTCTAACCCAAAAAAAAGTCCTGCTATGATGCTTGAGAGACACACCAGCAGGCACTTCACTTGTGAGTCTCCAACAACCCTTCTCTGGAAATAAGCACAGACATTGAGCTTGTATACTTTAGGTCATATGGAAGTTCCTTCCAGCTGAGAGTCTGCTCCAATCTTGTGAAGTTCAGGGGTCACGAAAATTCATGGAGAAGTGTTTTAGCAGGGTCAGTCATCAATAACTGACATCTCTCAGTAAAATAATTACATCTGTGACTTTTTTTAACCTGTTGGCTGCCAACATCAAAGAATTTGTGGAAACTCCTATCTCTGCTCTTCTGCAGTGCAGAGACTGGGCCTATTGAGGAAGTGGGGCCAAGATCAACACAGCACTAGAGGACTTGGAGAAAGGAAACATTCTCTTCCTCTGAACTTATCTCCATAGTCACTGTGCTTCACCTTGGAGACAACCTGCTCAGCCTCAATGGGCTTCGACGTGCTCCTGGATCAAGCTGGAAGTCTGGGGAGATTTCAGATCCTTCAGATTGCCTTCTTTTTTGTCACCAATGTTATAACATACACTCATATTCTGTTAGAGAACTTCACTGCAGCCATCCCTGGGCATCGCTGCTGGGTCCCCCTCCTGGACAACCACACCGCCTCTGGCAATGCCTCTGACATCCTCAGCCAAGACGCCCTCCTGAGAGTCTCCATCCCGCTGGACTCAAACCTGAGGCCAGAGAAGTGCCGTCGCTTCACCCATCCCCAGTGGCAGCTCCTTCATCTGAACAGGACCTTCCCCAATGTAAGTGAGTCAGACACAGAGCCCTGTGTGGATGGCTGGGTGTACGATCAGAGCTCCTTCTCCTCCACCATTGTGACTAAGGTAAGAGTCCTCATTTAACCTCTTTATAGAGAAGTGATGTGAACTGAAGGTGTTTGGAGTTAACACAAAGAATGGACTGAGAATTCTCTACCAGCTTATTTTATCAAATGAAGAAAGTCTTCATTCCTTCAGCAGTTAGCAATTCCTTATCTGTACCACAATATCAAGGGTGCTACTATGGAGGTTAATGAATTGAACAAACTATACCTCAACCTACTACTATATCATGTTACATAGAGAGGATAACCCTAAATGTTAAAAGTAATTGAAGTGCTACAGGCAAAATTTATGCTAGGTCAGTGCTACTAAGTACTGATTGCAAAACTGATGCACAGTGCAAGTAAATCAGTACCTGTATACATAAGACCGAGGCATCAGTCCTGTTGAAGCTCTTTAGCTGATTTGCATGACAAATACAAATGGCCAACAGATATGCTGGGGAAATGGTCAATATTACTAGCTCTTACAAATATGAAAATAAAATCAAAACCTAATCCAGTTAGAATGGATATTATCAAAAAGACATAAAGTAACTATGGCTGCCCTGAATGTGGAAGAAAGGGAACTCTTACACACTACTGCTGGAATGTAAATTAGTACAGCCATTATGGACAACAGTATAAGACTTCCTCAAAACTAGAAAGAGAACTGCCACATGACCTAGCAAACTCACCACTGGGTATATATCCAAAAGACTTGAAATAATTGTTTCAAAAAGTCATCTCTGTTCTACCACGGTCATTACTCTTCACGGTAGCCAGGATTTGACATCAACCAGGTTTCCATCATAACATGAATTAATAAATATGGGCGCCAACATTGTGGCTGAGTGGGTTTAGATGCTACCTGCAAAGCCAGCATCCAATGTAAGCTCTGATTTGTTGGCCCACTGCTCCACTTCTCTGCTAATGCTCCTGGGAAAGCAGAAGAACATGTGCCAGGTGCTTAGGCCCCTGAGACAGAGTTCCAGATCCTGGCTTTTGCCCCATCTCAGCCTTGGCTATTACAGCCATTTGTGGAGTGAACCAGTGGATGGAAGATCTTTCTCTCTGTGTGTGTCTTTCTCTAACTCTCTGTAACTTTGACTTTCAAATATGTAATTAGTTATATTTTCCAAAGTAAATGGAATTCCACTCAGTTATTTAAAAAGAATGAAATCCTGTCATTTGCATCAAACTGAATAAAAATGAAAGACATCGTGTTAATTGAAATAAGTTAGACACAGGAATACAAATGTTACATGTTCTTCCTCATATATGGGAGCTAAAATAAACCTCAATATAAAAATAGTTGTTGATTACTAAAGATTGGGAGAGTTGCAAGACACAGAGGGATTTTGGATTTTCAAAAACTACAGGAAAAATTTGGAGTTGCTAATGAGTTGTGGCAGATATATTTGACGTTAAAAATAGTGGAAGCTGGGGCCAGCGCCATGGCTTACAAGGTTAATCCTCCACCTTTGGTGCTGGCATCCCATATAGGCATCAGGTTCTAGTCTGGTTGCACCTCTTCGAATCTAGCTCTCTGCTGTGGCCCGGGAAGGCAGTGGAGGATGGCCCAAATGCTTGGGCACCTGCACCCGCATGAGAGACCAGGAGGAAGCACTTAGCCCTGGTTTGGATCAGCGCAGCACCAGCCATAGCAGCCATTTGGGGAGTGAACCAACGAAAGGAAGACCTTTCTCTCTGTCTCTCTCTCACTGTCTATAACTCTACCTGTCAAATAAATTAAAAAAAATAGTGGAAGCTGGGAATGGGCTATATGGGAACTTTTCACATGACTAAAATTCTAGCTTTATTTTTTCAAACATCTAAAATGAAAATTTTTAAAAAGAAAAACCAAACATTTTATAACAATTAAGCATAAATTATTGAATAACATGTTAGTGACATGATAAAGGAAAAAAACTGGATTTTCCTAAGTATATATATTTTGGTAATTTAGTTTCTTAAAATTACATTTTATGTGATTTTCATTATGGTACCTCACAAATGTGTTGAACAGTAATACAGTAAATGGATTTGGTGCTCTAGGAGAAAAATGACTGAAGTTGTGTACACACATGGTAACAGATTATCAGAAGGGTATGGCGTAAAAGAGGCAGTGGCATTTGAAAGGTTGATATGAGTTTCAGTATTTCTAGAGTGTGGGCAACCAGAGGGAAGTGACTGTAGATGAAATTGGAGAAGAAGGCAGAACCCCATAGCAGGAGCCCGTGTGTATCATATGGAGGAGTTTGTGGTCAGGCTCCACCAAAGGGCTGAAGCTCTCCTAACACTCTGCTACGCTGTTTGCTCTTCCAGTGGGACCTCGTCTGTGAATCTCAGTCACAAAAATCAGTGGTTCAAACCCTGTTCCTGAGTGGGTCGCTGCTGGGAAGTCTGATATTTGGCTATCTCTCAGACAGGTAAGTGTCACCTCACTTTATTTGGGGTTGTTGATCACATGATCCACACATCACACTGTGCCCTTTATGCTGGGCTACATACTCACCTAATTGTCTGATTTCAGGGAGTTACAAAAATAAGCATACTTGCTACATGACCTGGATATTATAATTTGTTATGACAAATCTATTCATTGTGTGCATAATAGGAGACATAAAGAGACATCTAAATAAGATTCAAGCAAGTTTCATGAGTGATTTTGAAAGGATATTGGAGAGTATGGAATTTATGAATTGGAGTTAGTTCAATGCAAGGACAGGTAGAGTATTTGAGGCATGTTCAAAACCACAAAATTGTGAAATAATGTTGTTGGCCTTGGCAATGATATGAAACACCTGGAACCTGTGAGGTCACTGAGGATGGACACTTGTAGACTGGCATCACTTTGCGTTGCAGCATAGATGCACATGTACAGTGGGTAGTTATTGTAAAATCTCTTCTTGTGAAAGAGATTTAGGTAGATATGGTGGTAAAACTTACGGCAATAACCTGAGAGCTGATCTTTGTGAAATAGGTACAATAGGTATTTTTTGCAGCCATAAAATAATGTAAATAATCTTAAGAAATTATGATGGCATGGTTTGGTATAAGAAGTTAGAGATTTCTTGTGTCTTGAACAGCTTCTCCTGAAAGAGACAACCAAGCCTGTCACTAAGGATATAGTGGGGAGCAACTGGGAGCAACTCGGACTAGACTAAGTTACTGGAATTAAGACTTATTCTACGCATCTGCTCTCCCACAATATGGCGCTGGGAGAGGAGGAAACAGCTTCTACACAGCTGCCTCCAGTTCAACCAATAAACAGCAGGACCTGCTCCTGATTGGAGGAGAGCAGCGTACTCGGCGTGTGGGTAGCAGAGTTGGGATTGGTGGAAGAGGACTATAAAGGAGGAGAGAGACAACATGCACCAGGAACATCTATCTGAAGGAACACCTGTGCAGCCCCCGAGAGAGCCGGCCGGCGGTGTGCCGCTCCCCTGCGGAAGTGGGGAAAGTGGCAGGGGGAACCGCCCTTCCACGGAGGTGGAAGGGACGGTAGCAAACCTGGGAAGAACCAGCAGCAAACCTGGGGAGGGCCGAGCAGACGAAAGAGCAACGCAGGGTCCTGTGTCGTTCCTCCACGAAGACGGGGAGCGACATAATGGTGCTGTGACTCGGATATGAAGCCTAGGCAGGTTTAGTGTCATTCCTCCATGAAGAAGGGGAGCGACATAATGGTGCCGTGACTCAGATAAGAAACCTAGGAGGGAAGAAACGGGAAGAAGTGGGAAAATACTGGAGAGAGAGACTAGCAAAGAGCCTAGGGAAAAGCCGGACGGAAAAGGTGCCGGAAGAAGCTATCGAAAGCCTAGGCATAGACTCGGATACGGACTGTGGGAAAGAAGTTAGGATTTAAAGTGAAAGCAAGAAGAAACTTAGACTCAGATACGGACTGCGGGTTGAAAGTGAAAGTGAAACCTATAAGAAACTTAGACTTGGATACAGACTGTGGGAAGAGGCCAGGAGAAATGAGAGGGGAATGTTGTTGGAAGAAAAGTTAGGAAACATACCTGGTAGAGAAAAATATGTTAGGGAGGATGAAGCCGCGGGGGCAGGCTGAAGCGGAGACGTAAGCTATCTTGGGATTCTTCAAGTCAGCCCGGGGAACAAGGGGCAAAAATCTGCAACCAGAGGCAGAGACGTGGGCCGCCAGGTTGGAATCCGTCAGATTAGCCCAGGGAGCAAAAGACGGGAAGCCAAACAGAAAGGCGCAGACGTGAGCTAGGTTGAATTCGCCAGGTTAGCCCGGGGAACTTAGACTGAATACCAGTGGCGGAAACGTGAGCTAGGCTGTGTGACTCGCGGAAGCCACCGTGTGCAGAGAGAGCACGGGGCGTGAATAGATAGGGAACACGGGGCTGGCGCTAAGGCTGTGGTGCGGGCACGAAGGGCGTGGAGACCACTGAGCATGCGAAGCCGAGCCGCGCAGAGCTGGGAAGCCGCCGCAGGGCGGGCGCCGGGAAGCGGATCAGAGCCGGGAAGCCACCGCGGGGCGAGGCGCCGAGAAGCAGCCTCGGGGCGGGCGCCGGGAAGCTGCAGGGATAAGAGAAACAGAAGTTTAGAAGTAAAATGAGAGAAATAAGAATGCTGGTAGATAGAAGTAAAATAGGAGAAATAGGAATGCCTGGAGATAGAGAAATAGAGAAAAATAAGGCCTCCCAACACGCACGGCAATGAGAGAGCTTGGATTTGGTCTGACTGATTAGTAAGACGATAAGCACCTGTGGGCGGCTGCAGGTCACTGAAGACAGGCACGTTATCAACACCAATAAGTCTCCCCACAAGACGGCAATGAGAAGGCTTGGATTCGGTTTGCCTGATTGGTAGGGCTTGTAAGCACCTGCAGGCAGTTCTAGCAGAGCAGAGCATGCGCTGCAGGGTACCGAACACAGGCACGCATCAGCGCCTAAAAACCTCCTCACAACATGGCGAAGAGAGGACCCGGATTCGGTTTGCCTGATTGGTAGGGCTTGTAAGCACCTGTGGGCAACTCTAGCAAGCAGAGCAGAGTGTGTGCCGTGGGGCACCGAAGACAGGTACGTTTCAACGCCAAAAATAAAAAGAAAGGGGGATCTTTGGGGAGCAACTGGGAGCAACTCGGACTAGACTAAGTTACTGGAATTAAGACTTATTCTATGCATCTGCTCTCCCACAATATGGCGCTGGGAGAGGAGGAAACAGCTTCTACACAGCTGCCTCCAGTTCAACCAATAAACAGCAGGACCTGCTCCTGATTGGAGGAGAGCAGCGTACTCGGCGTGTGGGTAGCAGAGTTGGGATTGGTGGAAGAGGACTATAAAGGAGGAGAGAGACAACATGCACCAAGGAACATCTATCTGAAGGAACACCTGTGCAGCCCCCGAGAGAGCCGGCTGGCGGTGTGCCGCTCCCCCGCGGAAGTGGGGAAGGTGGCAGGGGGAACCGCCCTTCCACGGAGGTGGAAGGGACGGTAGCAAACCCGGGAAGAACCAGCAGCAAACCCGGGGAGGGCCGAGCAGACGAAAGAGCAACGCAGGGTCCTGTGTCATTCCTCCACGAAGAGGGGGAGCGACAGGATATCTCTTACTAGAACAGCCAGAGAACTACAGAAGCTCATTGCCATTCACTTGTCTTTGTTAAAAGCTATGACTTTGAGCTTACACAGTTACATATTACATGTACAGAATTAACTTGCCCCTAGCTTTCCATTCTGTCTATTCCCTTATTCTGTTGACTTTGCACTACAAATTTTTTTCCAACTCTCCCCTGGAATATGGTCCCTCCCCAATTCTTCTGGTATCTTCCTGTGGTCAAAGTCAACATGTAGTTCCCTGTTTAACCACCTGAGATCTCTGCCCCTAGTTTTCAAACTCCAACCTCAGTACTACAATTGAAATTGTAGAATGAGTAGGTGAGCAAATGAATGAAACAGTTTAGATAATATCTGAATAAGTTTTCTTCAAGCGTATTTTTATGTTACACTTTTAAGCAGTATAATTTTAAAATATGACATATTCATCTGAGTTTATTTGTTAAGTGTGTTTTCATTACTAAAAGGCTGTTACCAAGTGAGAGAGATCTTCCATTGTTGATTCATACCCAAAATACCCAAAACAGCCAAGGTTGTACCAGGGTGAAGTCAGGAGCCCAGAAATCTTTCTGGGTCTCCCGTATGTGCAGCAGTCACCCAAGAACTAGAGCCATAATTGTCTGCCTTCCAAGATGCATTATGAGAAAGCTGCATGAGAAACAGAATGCCTGGGACTCAAGGTAGCAGTCCTACTTGGAGGGCAGGCATCCCAACTGATAGCTTAAGCATTGCACCGTAATGCCTGTCCCACAAGTACATTTGTATCAACAATAAGAAAAATAAGCTATCATCACATGCATCAATATCCAGGAAACAATATATATAACATAGGATCACATGTTATATTATTCCTATTTTTAAAATAGAAACCAAACATATTAATATATGTTATTTTAAGTTTTAAATTATATGCTTTATTGGGAGTAGGGGTTAACAGAATGCACAAATTGGGATTCATTTCTAGCACAATGTTCTATCTGACCAGGGAGTGGTTTAATGGGTACCTTATTTTATAAAAGGCTTTGTGTTGATGGTTCAGAGACAAAGCACAGATCTCTTGATTTCATTCATCGCTGGTCTAAACACAAGGCAAATACTCACTATATTCAATGCATACATTTGTATAACAAACTTTTGGGATAACTACTCATAATTCATTGCCTTTCATATGGAAAAAGTCTTCCGGTGATTGTTGACTGACAGAGAGTTGATAATGGTCTTGTATGGACTAGGAGGATCACATCTGTGATTTCTGCTTTTGCAAATAAAATTTTTCCAATAGCCTCCAATGCAGTGTTCCAAATGTGAAACATTTATCATGATTTGTAAGATGTGCTATTTTTTTCTTTTTTTCCACACATATTTACTTCCTAAATAATCTTATTTCTTAGGTATGGAAGGAAGGGGATTTACACATGGTGTCTCCTCCAGACGGCCATTATGGACACCTGTGCCACCTTTGCTCCCACCTTCCTCATCTTCTACATTCTGCGCTTCTTGGCTGGATTTTCTGCCACAACTGTTATGGCAAACTCTTTCATTCTTGGTAAGTTCAAAATTTAAGGTTTTCATTGTATCTATGCCTTGAATTGACCTTTAAATTGCCCTTTGACTGAAGTAATTGTGTATTTATTTTTCAGTATCAGAGTGGACAGTTGCCAAGTCACAATATTTAGGAGTAACACTGATGTTATATGCCTATGGCGTTGGGCAGATACTCTTGGGAGGATTAGCTTTTGCCATTCGAGACTGGCACACACTGCATCTGACTGTGTCTATACCCTTGTTTGTCCTCTCCTTGTTCTCCAGGTATGTACTAGCATGGGGAAACTATTGTGGGAACACACAGGAAAATCTTGAGATTTAACATGTTTGGTACTAGCCTGACACTGAGCCATGGTCTCTTAATAACCATTGAACTACTTGAAATTCAGAAGAGGGAAGAGAATGGGAATCCAAAATGGAGACTGGGACTTGGTAGTCATCATTGCAGTACAGTACAAAGAACTATTTATGAAATTATTTTAATAGAAACAATATGTATGGAGTGATGAAGCAATGACATTAATTATGTAACTTTGGAAGGCACTATGACATGGATATTGTGTGGTGTCTCTTGTCCATGTAAGTGACACTGCACTAAAGACAATGAGCTTCTCTGTAAGTGTTTCACATAAGAAGAGTATGCTTTCTGCAGCATTGAGAAATGGCATGGAGGCACCTTCTAGGAAAATTAAAGTGAAAGACCTACAAAAATTGGGCCCTTAATACAAACAAAAAACATTAAAAACATACTAAGAATCACCATTTTCAGGCCTGCAGTGATTTAGTGAATCTTTCATTCAAGAAAAATATCTGAATCCCATTAGAATAGTTAATTTTGAGTATTTTAAAAATATCCAAATTTTATTTCCTACTCTCCATATATGGTATAGCCTTGAAGAAAAAAATATCGTGTACATTCTTAGTATTAGCAGGAGAACAGGGTTTGAGTATTTCATAGCCTCATTCACAGTAAGTTGTCATCATTTGACCTGTCTGGTGATTTACCTAAAAACTCATTTCAAAGACTATTTGACTTGATGTTGACTTGCCCATGATGGAAAAAAAACAGCTTATTCACTGGAGTGTCTGAGGCAGACTTCTGGAGGGGAGAAGTGCCAGACACTCGCCAGCGAGAGTCCAGCATAGTAAAGACACGATCGCTGCTTACTCGGTTCTCATGGAACTTTATTCATCCAGATGCAAGGTGAAAGAAAAGAAGCCAAGCCCTCGCTCTGCACAATATAATCCCCCTTATATACCCAAGGTTCCCCTAGCAGGACGCTCCCAGCCAATGGCAAGTCTGTTCACATGCAGTCCATGCAGGCACAGTCCAATCAAGTCGAAGGGCACATAGTGCCTCAGGATGAAAGTCCATCTTGCTCCATCGGGGTTGTTTGTGTCTTCAGGACATCCTGTGGTTAGCACTTCCTTGACTTGTTTTTCTCAGCAGCCAGCACTTCCTTAACTTGTTTTGCACAAGTTGTTACAACAGGCCATGCAAACAGCCAAGTGAGGAAGTTCCCACAGGTGGCCAGCCTGTGGTTCCCCACAGAGAAGGGAAGTGAGAGTGATATTGCAAGCATGGAGATACACAAGGGCCTTAAAAAGGGAAACTAAGCCCACAGCATTCAGAATCCCAACACTCAGGAAACTCTATAGCAGAAGGGACACTGACAGGAAAATGATCAGCAGGACTCCTACTCATGCCACAGAAATCTGAAGCATTTGCCGCTGGAGATGTCTGGAGCCCTCACAGGCCCTGAAACTTTTGGAGGAGCTTCTAGGTGAACACATGGCTACAGTGCCCCAGAGAAATAGCCCAGCCCATGTGATGCCTTCCTCCACTCTGGCCTTTCATGCACAGTGCCTTCTTGAGTATCCATCCATTCAGTGTCCTTAAAACAGCCAACAACTGCCCCCAGAAGTTCATCATGAAGGACCCCAAAAAGTGGTGCCCTTTTGTGACGACCCCAGAAACACAGACTCCAGACCAGGCGATGCAAAAAGCAATAGGCAGTTTTATTTCATTTGCGCAAATGGGCCCTCTGCTGCTGCAAGCAGCGGGAAAGAGAGAGAGAGCCCCGAGCAATCTTTTCACACAGCTTTTAAAGGGCAAAACCACAAGATTAACATATTACAGGGTGGCGTAAGTTCATTGGGCAACTACAAGGGGAGGGGTCGTTGAGGAGGAGAAACGGGTGGCTACGTGCCTTACGTGCCTTGCGGTTTCTTTGTTGAGCTTGAGCAAGCACAGGGGAGGGGGCTTATGTACATAACAGGATGTTCTGTCGCCCGTATCTCTGAGTAGTATCCAACTGCTTATTCTGTGAACCAGTTTACTCCCCCATTTCCCATGACTGTTTCTGGAACTGTTTGTCTCAGTTCCTGTTTTTCTATTTTATCAAGGCCACTTTTATGGCAGCTCACGGCTGCTCCCTTCAATCACACCCAGTCCAAAAACCAGCTGAGTTAGCACACCTTCATTCTGAGAGTCCCAGGTAGTAACCAAGCAGGTTGCCTGAATGCAAAGCCCACGGATGCCCCTGCAGAGCCATCAGGCAGCACTGCCTACCTTCTTTCAGAGCCAAGGAGCTGCCAAACCACCAGTTCTCCATCCTTGGCTTACTGATACCCTGGCCAGCAGCCACGGCTCACAGAGTGCATGAGCATAGCTCTGGGGCTGACTCCCCCAGTTGCAGGGTGCAGGGGATCTGTCCTTTGCTGTACGCATTGCCCTGACCCTGATTACAGTGTTGTTAGTAGCAGAATAGACGTGTGCTGTGTGGCTTTGCCCTGTTGCAAGGGCACTTAGTGCAGATTCAGGAGGGGCAGAAAGGACAGCAAAGCAGCTAGCCTACTCCAAGACTGCAGCTGCTCACACGAGTCAACTCCCCAGCGTGAAGTAGGAGTCAGAGTTTGACTGTGGAATGAATATAATGAATATAAATTTACTTAATGAATATAAATTTCCAAAGTACAGAATATGGATTACAATGGCTTCCCCCCATTAACGTCCCTCCAACCCGCAACCCTTCCCTTATCCACTCCCTCTCCCCATCCATTCACATCAAGATTCATTTTTGATTCTCTATATATACAGAAGATCAGTTTAGCATACATTAAGTAAAGATTTCAACAGTTTGCTCCCACACAGAAACATAAAGTGAAAAATACTGTTTGTGTACTCGTTATAGCATTAAATCTCAATGTACAGCATACTAAGGACAGAGATCCTACATGAGGAGTAAGTGCACAGTGACTCCTGTTGTTGACTTAACAAATTGACACTCTTGTTTATGGCCTCAGTATTCACCCTAGGCTCTTGTCATGAGCTGCCAAGGCTATGGAAGCCCCCTGAGTTCACCGACTCTGATCATATTTAGAAAAGGCCACGGACAAAGTGGAAGTTCTCTCCTCCCTTCAGAGAAAGCTACCTCCTTCTTTGATGACCCATTCTTTGCACTGGGATCTCACTCGTGGAGATCTTTCATTCATTTTTTTTCCCCCAGAGTGTCTTGGCTTCCCATGCCTGAAATACTCTCAGGGGCATTAAAGCCGGATCCGCATGCCTTAAGGGCTGATTATGAGTCCAGAGTGCTGTTTGGGACATCTGCCATTCTATGGGTCTGCTGTGTATCTCACTTCCCATGTTGGATCATTCTCTCCCTTTTTGATTCTATCAGCTAGTATTTGCAGACACTATTCTTGTTTATGTGATCCCTTTGGTTCTTAGTCCTATCATTACGATCAACTGTGAACAGAAATTGATCACTGGGACTAGTGAGATGGCATTGGTACATGCCACCTTGATGGGATTGAATTCAATCGCCTGGTATGTTTCTAACTCTACTGTTAAATTGGCAAACAAAAAAGCAGTCTGCACATTAATGTTTATTGCAGTTCAATTCACAATAGTTAAGACCTGGAACCAACTCAAATGCCCATCAACAGTAGACTGGATAAAGAAATTATGGGACATGTACTCTATAGAATACTATACAGCAGTCAAAAACAATGAAACCCAGTCATTTGCAACAAGATGGAGGAATTTGGAAAACATCATGGTGAGTGAATTAAGCCAGTCCCAAGGGACAAATATCATATGTTCTCCCTGATCGGTGACAACTGAACAACAAAGGGGAAACTTGTTGAAGTGAAATGGACACTATGAGAAACAGTGACTTGATCAGCTCTAGTCCTGATGGTTGATGTACAATGTAATACTTTATCCATTTTAGTATTTTTTTTGTTCTAGTACCATTGGTTGCACTCTGTAATTAACACACAATTATACGCAAGTGTTTAAATTTTAACTGAAAAGTGATCCCTGTTAGGAATTTGGAAAACATTATGTTGAGTGAAATAAGCCAATCCCAAAGGGACAAATACCACTTGTTCTCCTTGATAGGTGAAAACTAACTGAGCACCAAAAAGGAAACCTGTTAAAGTGAAATGAACACTATGAGAAATGGTGACTTGATCAGCCCTCACCCTGACTGTTGATGAGCAGCTTAATATGTTATCCCTCTTAGTATTTTTTTTGTTTGTTCTACTTAATACTTTTGGTTGAATACTGTAATCAATACACAATTCTTCTTAAGTGCTGAAACTTAACTGAAAAGTGATCACTGTTAAATATAAGAGTGGCAATAAGAGAGGGAAGAGATGTGCAATTCGGGACATGCTCAAGCTAACTTACCTCAAACAGTGAAGAATTCAATAGATCAAATGAAAAACACAATAGAGAGCCTTACAAACAGAATGGGTGAAGCAGAAGAGAGAATATCGGACTTAGAAGACAGAGAACAGGAAAGGATACAGTCACACCAAAGAAAAGTAGAGGAAATTAGAAATCTAAAACATATTGTCGGGAATCTTCAGGATACTATTAATAAACCCAACATTCGGGTTCTGGGAGTTCCTGAAGGCATGGAGATGGAGAAAGGATTAGAAGGCCTTTTTAGTGAGATATTAGCAGAAAATTTCCCAGGTTTAGAGAAGGACAGAGAAATCCTAGTACAGGAAGCTCACAGAACCCCTAATAAACACGACCAAAAGAGATCCTCACCACGACACGTTGTAATTAAACTCTCCACAGTGAAACATAAAGAAAAGATCCTAAAATGTGCAAGAGAGAAACGTCAGATTACTCTCAGAGGATCTCCAATCAGACTCACAGCTGACTTCTCATCAGAAACCCTACAAGCTAGGAGGGAATGGCGAGATATAGCCCAGGTACTAAGAGAGAACAACTGCCAGCCCAGAATATTATATCCTGCAAAGCTATCATTTGTGAATGAAGGT